CGCGGAGGAGCCGGACGAGGCGCTCGGCACCGCAGGTACCAGTCGGGCGCCGTGTGGGGCTTGTGCTCGCTGGGGAGCTGCCTGAGCAGTCCCGGGGATCGTGCGGAGCCTCAGGGTGCTCCTCGGGGAGAGGTGCCCGCCGTGGGGCTGCTGGCGGCCCCGCAGCGCCCGGCCGTGGCTCTGCGCCCCGGGGCCCTCAGTGTTTTCTCGTGGCAGAGCGGGACGAGCCCCCCGCGTCCCCGGGCAGCGCGTCCTCCGCCACCTCCGGCTGGGAGAGGCAGAGCAGCCGCAACGGTGCGTGCAGGGCAGGGGCTGCCAGGGGCTGGGGGCTGCTGGGGGCGCCTTTGGCACCAGCACCGTCCCGTGCTGTTGGTGGGTGCCCGTGGTCCCCCCTGCCCACGCTCTCCCCTATCCCTTCTCAGGGCCTCCGACCAGCCCCTCCAGCTCTTCCGTGGGCTCCCAGAGATCCGCGGACAGCGCTGCTGGCTCCAGGTGAGGCTGCCCTGTGCCGGGGCCAGCACTGAGGCGCTGCAGGGCGCACAGCAGGCACTGCTGCTTGCTGGGCACCGGCCCCTGCAGCTYCCCCCAGGACAGGGGGTGCTCCACAGCCGCCCGGGTCCAGCTCCCCTCTGGCCAGGGCAGACGGCTGGGTCGTGGAGCAGCCCCGTAACGAGCCCTTTGCCGGGCAGGTTCAGCGCGAGCAGGCGCAGGGTGCCGGGCCTGGCGCTGCGCCCGCACTGCCTCAGCCCGGAGAGYGACTGCGCCAGCACCGGCGCCAGCCACGACTACCTGCCGCTGGTAGGGAGCCCTGGGCAGCCCCGGGGCGCAGGGCAGACCCTGCCCGGCGCTGGGGAGCCAGAGCAGCCTCCGGGTGCCGCGGGTGTCGGAGCGCRCCGGCCCTGCTCCACGTGGCCGCCCACCCGCTGCCCCGCAGGTGCAGCTGCAGCAGGCGCAGGGCCCCTTCGAGCTCAGCGAGGGCTTCAGCGCCGTGGTGCAGATCCCGCTGGAGCGCCTGCGCCGGGCCTCCCCGTACGCCTCGCACCGCGCCAGCCTCAGCCCGCTGTCCCCGGGCGGCCGGAGCGGCGCGGCGGCGCCC